CTCAGAGTTAGTGCCACGATACAATCTCAGGAAAAGGCGTCCTATCGATTATTCTGAAGTTTTGCACGGGGATGAAGGATCGGCAGGACAATCAAGTACCCTTCTCTTCACAATGGTTCTGCAAGTTCTAGCCTTCTGTGCGGTCTTTAGTGAAGCAGCAGCAACAGATGACCGCAATGACTCTCAAATGATGCGACTAATAACGTGTACGGAAAATGGGGTACGACTGCACCTCCCAGAAGCATTCCCTTATGAAATTTGCGCCGAACAATACTGTGTCGAGTTTACTCACCCGAACGAAAATGAATCAATAAACGTTCCCTTCACAAGTCATACTCCATGAGCACAGGATCCAGTGGAAGCTTTCTCTGCCACACTCTATAGAGATCATTGAGAGCACTTGCCCACCAGCACCGTTTTGCCCATCAATAGACTGTACTTTTGCAGCGCCAATATCTTCAACCCCGAGTGTTGGCCCATCAGCGCAATATTGGCGACGGCCACAATTCTTTACTTCCTGGTAACGGGCTGCTACGTCTTCTTGTATGTACCCGTCACAGTTGGGAGACCACTGAGAGTTCTGGGCAGTATTACCTGGTCGCTGTTCAGAGTTTTAGCGGGCCAGCTGAGGAAGTCAGCAAGCGAACTCGCAGAAGAATATCAGTCCAACGACGCCGATTAATAGAGATTTTGGCAATCGTGGCAGCATTCCAGGCTTCAGAAGGATGCCAAACGGTCAATGTCTTCAGTCACTATTCAACGATATGGCACTGAAGACACCACCGCGCCCTGCCAAATCCAACTATCCGAAGTCTTCAAGGTCAATGCGTTCAAACGAGAAGCATGCGTTCGACTGTTAGACAATACCACTCTACTCCATGAGATTAGGCTGAGATGGAAATCGCTAGAACTATTGTGTGAACCGGAGACGACTCTCTTCACACGCGACTCAATATACAACGTCATCGACAGTAAAAGATCCCCGCACGTTGGGTCATGTAAAGGAGACAAATGCGGCATAATCAATTCGTCCACCCTCATTCCGGAACTGGAGCAGGGTAACCGCTACCCAGGAAACACAGCATGCGTGGAATCATGTGGAGGACCGGGATGTGATTGCTTCTTCATCAGCTCCGGATGTCTCTTTTACAGAATCTACATGGTACCCATCGATGAGAAAGTCTACGAAATCCTTTCACTGCAATAGATGGAGAGAAGCTGCCAACATAGAAATTACGCACTTCGGACATCACTAAGGACGGACAACACCCCACCCCTGCACTACTCCACAAATGACGAACTTGAACTGTTCTGTAGTGGAGGATTGTGCGTGCCTTCCAGCCGAAACGAAGATTAATTGTCAATGCAAGGACCTCCCAATAGGTCCGTGGTTCAATGACATCAAGAATCAGTTACCAGTGAATTTGCCAGTCCATTTCCTTTTACCAGGATGAAAGGGCCAAAGTAAGGGCAGAAGTCATGAGTATGGTCACATCAGAGGTCATCATGAACTTCATGGGCTCAGTGAAATCAGAAGTCATCGTAGAGGAAGCGTTC